GCTGATATTCCAAATATGGTAAGGGGCGTAACATTTCCGTCACCCGCTTGAGGTATTCAGCCAATCACAAGGCACTGGATAGCTGGCCAATCAGAGCACACCGCGCTCTGTATGTGTTTTTTTTTTACCCTAAACCGCGTAAACACACTGCATTACACCAAATACACAAAATAATGTTCTTTTTAGCAGCATCATATGACCCCTTTAAGGATAAAGATATCTAAAATGACTCACAATTTCTACCTGATAAAGTATTTTAGAGCTTGGAATAATTAAAAAAAATGTCCACTACTGGTCAAAAGTTTAGAATACTAACATGTTCTTATGTTTTTGAAAGAGGTCTCTTATGCTAACCAAGGCTGCATTTATTTACAGTAATACAATAAAAACAAACAAACAAAAAGTTATATTGTGAAATACTGAGAAAATAATACTTACATACATTAAACAGGATGCATAAAGTATGCATTAAATTGATCAAAAGTGACAGTAAAGACATTTAAATTGTTACAAATAAATGCTGTTCTTTTTAACTTTTGATTCAAAGAATCCTGAAAAAATATATCAGTCTCCACACAAAAACTTTTGAACATTGATAAGAACCACTGATCATTATTAGTAATTGTACACTAATAATAACTGCAAAGCAAATCAGCATATTAGAATGATTTCTGAAGGATCATGTGACACTGAAGACTGGAGCAATGATGCTGAAAATTCAGCTTTGCCATCACATGAATAAATCACATTTCAAAATATATTAAAACGGAAAACAATTCTGTTAAATTGTTATAATATTTTACAATACTACTGTTTTTGCTGTATTTTTTGATCAAATAAATGATTGAGGAGAATAAGAGACTTCTTTCAAAAACAAAAAATCATAATTATTCCAAACATCTGACTGGTACTGTACATTTTTGTAGATATTCCAAGCTCTAAAATATGTTATCAGGTAGAAATTGAGTAACTAATTCATTTTAAAATAATAATAATTTTGATCACCTTTCCAGGTCTTTAAAATTAGGTTACCTCATATATTCAGGTTTTTACAGGATTTGTGTGAATCCTGGTTCTGGGTTATTTTAACCCAGAAGTGCATGAGCTAGCAGACCTACTGTACCTGTACTGTAGGGTTGGCCTCCATGGCTTCAGTAGTATGTGCGCGCTGCAGGGCAGAGCTCCTGGACTCTGACGCATGGGATGTCGCTGTTCGAGCCTGATCTGCTGGCGATGAATCCTCTTGTAGAGAGGCTTGCTTCAACACAGAGGCTGCCTGCTCCTGAACCTGGGCCACCAGGTCAGCCTCTATCATCTCCTCCACCGCTCGGTCCAGTCGCTGGTCCAGCTCCCAGTGAGACAGCGGCTCCCACTCCGCCTGCACCGCGTCCATTATCACGCGCCCTGCGGCCGCCGCGCTCCATTTACGAGCCTCCATCTAGACGCAGCTCGGATTAATGTGGGAGTACACGGATGAAGCTAGCCAAGTTGGCTCTCCAAAAACATACGTGGTTAGACGCTGCTAATAGACGTTGCTTCTACAATAGATTGGGGAAAGTAACTGGAGTAAATATCTCAGCTTAAGCAATAATGAGGGTAAAACCAGTTAGATGTGCCAGTAGATACTAGCGCTGTAACTTTACCGTGCAAAATGAATGAAGTTACTATGGATAGTTCACATGCATACTGATTGAGTTAACATAGAGATGTGATTTTGAAATTAAATAAAAATCTTAAAACCTAAAATACGTTGTGGCACGCCCATAAAAACACGGAGAATATATTTGAATTGACAGACCTTTAAAACAGACGATCCTCTTTCCACATTAGCTTCTGTTGCTAGATAGATTGATCTACTGCGCATGCGCACATTTAACAACTATGATTGGTCCCGTGTGATTTCAATACAACATCCATCTGTCGATAAACCCATATCACCTTTTTCTCTTTTAACTTGTTCTCTACTAGATTTGTCATGTTTACAAAATAAAATTCTGAATTTGATTGATACTAGTAGCCTAATGGGTGACTGGAGATCCGACCTGACATCTCAATTTGATTTGGATTTTAATTTTTTATATAATTTCAGTTTTTTCAGTTTCATGTTGCAAAAAATTTAAACACATTCACTGCATTACATTTAAATAAAGATGTGTTTTTAGTGTTTTTAGCCGATTCTTGAAGATGGATTGAGTTGGGCAGGTCATTCCACCAGGAGGGAACATTTAATTTAAAACTCTGTGAAAGTGATTTTGTGCTGCTTTGGGATGGCACAATAAAGCGACTTTCACCTGCAGAACGCAAGCTTCTAGAGGGCACATAACTCTGAAGTAATGAATTTAGTTAAAGGGGTGCAGAGCCAGTGGTGGTTTTGTAGGCAAACATTAATGCCTTGAATTTTATGCGAGCAGCTACTGGTAGCCAGTGCAAATTGATAAACAGAGGTGTGACGTGCATTCATTTCGGGCTTATTGAAAATTAATCTTGCTGCCAAGTTCTGGATTAATTGTAAAGGTAAGCAATACTCATTTCTAAAACTCATCTCTTCTTCGAAAAGAATTTAAGGCCGTTTGAATAAAATACTATTTATTTAAACCAACTCTGTTTCGTATACTTGTTGATCATGTCGTAAACATATTTCCAGTGTGTAACATTTCTGCTATTCAGCTTTTAAATTAACTTGTCTCTTACATCAGTCAAGTCCTCCAAATACACTTCTAGGCTCGCTACGAATTGGGTCTGAATGAGAGACGGCCTGCGTCCCAATGTGCATACTTTCCATCCTAAATTCATCCAGCAAGAAATGTCTGTTAGACAAGCTGAGATGCGAGCATGTGAACATTCATGTGAAACCTATAAATATAATTAACATTAAGCAATACTCATTTCTAAAACTCATCTCTTCTTCGAAAAGAATTTAAGGCCGTTTGAATAAAATACTATTTATTTAAACCAACTCTGTTTCGTATACTTGTTGATCATGTCGTAAACATATTTCCAGTGTGTAACATTTCTGCTATTCAGCTTTTAAATTAACTTGTCTCTTACATCAGTCAAGTCCTCCAAATACACTTCTAGGCTCGCTACGAATTGGGTCTGAATGAGAGACGGCCTGCGTCCCAATGTGCATACTTTCCATCCTAAATTCTATGTGATATTAGTAATTTTCAATACTATTTAGGGCAGATAGGGTGGATAGTGTGCACATTGGGACGCAGGGTTGGTTCTGGGTTGAATGAATCATCAGTGATCCAATCTGAATCGTTCAGGTTTTGTGAACCTGTTTAACCGATTCATTGAAAAGTTTCAGGGCACCTAAACCCCCACATATTACAGAAGTATTTGGGGAAGTTTTTTTACACGGATGCGGTTGTGTAACTACAATTAGTTTTACTAATACAGAAACTGAAACATAACTTAATCTTAGAAATCTTTCACTTTTAAGTTTCAAATGCATAAATGCAAATTTTCCCATTTCAAATCACATTTCAAGGCGTTTCTCCACTAATTTCGATAGTATTTTAAATCACTTAATATCTGTCTTACTTTTTCCTGTTTCTTGTTCATTTTCTTCCTCCTGTCTTTTGTTGCTCTTTTCTTTTGTTCCATTGTTGGTTGTTATTCTGTAATGTAGCAATTATATCTCCACATTTATAAATAATAATAATAATAATAATAATAAAAAATCTAAAACCCCAAAAGCAACACCATTAATAAACAGACGTTGAACATTAGAGAAGGAGTGGAAAAGGGCTGATTTTAATTAATTTAAACGAAGTTACAGATACTGCAGCATGATTTTCTTTGATGTTTTTAACTTTTTTGTTTGTTTGTTTTTCCAAGAGCACTGTGAAGGAACACTGCCATCACTGAGAAGAATCAGGGTTCGCAAAAACATTAGGATCCGTTTTTTGGGATGAACACAACGTCAGCATTTGTGTTAAAGTTAAACATTCACTTGTTCAAGCAACTGCGCCTAAAGGCTTCTTTCTTATTGATCTTTACATTTTTACTTTATTCTTACCACTATTTTAAAATGCCACACACACACACACACACAAAGGGAAAAAAAAACGGACTAGCATTTACACTCCCCTTTGATTTATATACAAAATCAGGGAATTAAATGTCAATACTTAAGCTTCCAAACAAATATTCAAAAAGAAACAAGCGGACACCACTACACTCCTCCAACAAAAGGATTGTAAAGAAAAGCAAAACACACTTCAGGAAGCAACAATGTGAGTGGAAAAATGTATTTACAATGAAACCACTGTATGTCAGAATTCACCTCAACCATGTGCTGTGTATTCATTTGCAGGCATCCATGCCCACTCTGATGTTCAGTAAGTTCCATGTGCATTTACACTATATTAAGTCGGTAACGTAAAAGGGTTCAGCCTATGGCCTTTTGCACCCCAATAAAATTATGCAGGATCTAAATAAGAATAATTATAATATCAATACTCATTAACACACAACAGCGTACTGTAAATGCGATCAGTAAAGTGGGCATTTGTAAAACCTTACAGCCACAAACACAAACCCGCCCCGCCCCTATCAGATTGAAACACACAAAAAGCACAAAACGTTTAACTCTCCAAACATAACATTTGCGTAAATTAAATAAGAAGCACGGGTTTACATACTCCGATATCTAACCACCTCTGACAGGTGACTAACAGCTGTCTGACAAACGAGCAATTCATCCAGAAATCAAGGGAAACATTACCAAATCAAAATGTGCCTGTGCCAAATGGGACGTTGTGATTGGTGGATTAACCTGTAGATGAGCAGACACTGAACATTGGAAGGGTTTGCGACAATACAGTGAGAGTAAGCTACTAGTGCTCAACGGGACGTGAGGAGTAACAGGGAGAGCGATTCAAATTCTCAGCAAAGTTGCAATATCACACAAGATCACTCTCACTCATGCTCCCCCCCACCCCACCCCTTTTTTGTAACTCAATACGCACCACCATCTTAAAACGCACGTGTCACCCTCCCCCCAACCCTTTATCGTCAGTTCCTCCCCTTCACTGCACGGCTTGTTCGTTGGCAGTGCTGCCCGAGTCTTGAGGCTTCATGACATCGGGAAGCTCAGGAGGGCTGGAGAAGGCCTCTATTCTTAGAGGCTCAAAAGCATCATCTGTGATAAAAACAGACACGGTAGGCAAATTCAGATCACCAAATATCACATAGCGGGATATGAGGCAAGCGACTGAAACAAGAGCTCACCACTGATGCGAAAAGCCAGTCCTACTGTGGCCGGAGCCTGAGGCCTGGCTGTCTGGTTTGTGAACCCACAGTCTCCAAGAGTCTTACTATCTTCTAGCAGCATGTCATCCTGGGGGACATGGAGAGATTGTTTAATAAAGCACATAATAGACTCAAATCACAACAGCATATGTTTGATTTAGCCTACGTGTGGTCATTCAAAAACTGGCAACAGCACATGGTCCCACTTATTGTCTTAAAACACTGAATAAAGTATTAAACTCACAATTTTTTAAAGAATGGAATATTATTAGTTTGTTGTACTTTATCACAAGGTCACAAAGTGACCACAAAGTGAGTTTGAGCTGACTTTTTTCCATATTCATAGACGTGTCTTCATTTGTTTTTCATATATATATATATATATATATATGATGTTTAGTGTAAAAATGTTTAAAACAAAATATGTGCTTTAGAGAATACTGTTTAAAGTAATTCGTTTTTCACTTTCCGTGCTGTTAATCCTGTAAATGTGCCTTGTAAATCTATGGGTTCGTAAACTTCTTAGATATAATTTGTGGGTTTTCTTAACTTTTGAGCTAGTATTAACAAAAGATTTGATTAATTCTGTGATGTTTTGTGGTATTAGTTTGTGTTACACGCACTACCATTCAAAAAGTTTGAAGACTCATATGCTCACCAAGTCTGCATTTACTTAATCAGCAATACAGTACAAACAGTAATATTTTAAAATATCAATACAATTTAAAGAACTTTTCTATTTTAAATTATTCTCAAATGTAGTTTATTCTCCTGTGATGGCAAATCTGAATTTTCAGCATTACTCCAGTCTTCAGTGTCACATGATTCTTTAGAAATAATTCTATGATTTGCTGCTCAAGAAACATTTTTCATACTTATTAGTGTTGTTATTATAACAGTTTAGCTGTTTTTGCATTTTTTTTTAAATAAAAATCTTTTCTAACATCATAAATGTATTTACTGGTCACTTTTGATCAATTTAATGAATCCTTTCTAAATAAAAGTATTAATTTCTCTTTAAAAAACCTTACTAGCTCCAAATTTTGTAACATAGTGTGAAATTACATAACTTGGAATGCTTTCATTTCTACAAAACAGGAATGACCCAACTACATAGAACCTTCAGGATATACTAAAAGAGCTATAACGCTAATAATCAACATAATCATGAAAACTTTCTTTGCTGACCTTATAAAGTCTCTGATCCTCTGGCGCTCGCTTTAGGATGCCCTCCACAATCCGCTTCAGCTCGTAGACTGTGGTAGACTCCTTAGCATCTGTGAAGATGGTTGTCTTGTGACGTCTGATCATCAAAAAGACATCCTGAAGAAAAACAAGGAGCCAGTTATTCAACCTTCAATCCTCTCATTATCAACACATCTCGATTTATACCGAGTTCAACCCTCCACAACCTAAACTCATGGCGCATTTGAATTTTTACACAACAAAATGAGACATCAATCACCTTAGAAAAATAATCCTAAACATGATAACAAACCACCAGCTTCTATAACTCTCAACTCCAAAAAAGCCGTGTTTGTTGTAATTTACAGGTAGAACAACCACTGGCTTTTTAAAAATAAAACAAGAAAGAGAAAAGCAGATGGTGAACAGCTCTCTACACAAATAAAACGCTGACAGCTGCAGTTGTGTTAAGTTGTTGTTGACTTAGTTACTGGCAACACCTAGTTGTGCGGTTTGTTTACTGCAAACAGCTAACCACAGCATTACGAGGGGATGAAAATTCAATAATAACTGTAAACGCGGCTAAACCAAGTAAGTTATCTTTTAAAAATGGACGTGCAAGCTGGAGCTAGTAACAACGGCAGGACAAAACATGTAGCAACCCATCTAAGCTCGATAATCTTTTGATGATTATCTACATTTATTGTGCGCATAGATTAAATGACTAACGTTAGATGAGCATCTAAAAAGGCACAGCCCAGAATGATCAATGACAGGACCAGCCCGTTCCTACATTACGGAGCTGTCATGAAATCAACACCGTGATTAACAGCCCCACTTCGGCTACAGAGGGTGCGCAGCTCATATACAAATAAACAATACACAACTGTTTGCCCATCGGTTTTTAGTATTGGCCGACCAGACCGGTCGTCGAGCGCAATGTATTCAGCAACACAAGTAAATGGGGCGGATTTAGCAGGGAATGTTAGCCGGGCTGCTAAAAATATTGCGAAACAAAGAGGACTGTGTAAAGGCTGAGTTCACACTCGTTAGCCACTCCAACCAGTGGCTAGTTTGCGTATAATCCGTCACAGAAACATTTTCAAACTACAAAACGAAAGAATACGTTCGATCTGCTTCCTCACTCACCATTTCTCTACGACTGTTTCGCTGACTTCTTCCACTATCCCACGCTGCACTGCGGAAATCAAAGCGCTCGAGCCAGTCCTCCACAATCCCAGATGTCTTTGCGCGAGCAGCGTCAACTCTTTTCTGTGCCGGAGACGCACCCTAGCGGCCTCACACAATTCAGTGCATTTTTTTTTTAACTAACACTTGTTGAACAGGCACAATCCATTTGATTAAGTTTAATGTACAGTTTTGGCTATTTCTGTGAAAAGTAATTCTAGTGCACATCGTATGCTTAAGAATGCACTGTATGGCGTAGCTGTAACAATGGTTTTCACTGGGATTACTGGCCAAATTTGTTCATTAGAAAGGTGCACATTGTAGAATGTATCTGGGACTGTGGCTTCCATATGTGACCCTGGAGCACAAAAGCAGTCATAAGTAGCACAGGTATATTTGTAGCAATAGCCAAAAATACATTGTATGGGTCAAAATTACGAATTTTTCTTTTATGCCAAAAATCATTAGGATATTAAGTAAAGATCATGTTCCATGAAGATATTACTTTCCTACCGTAAATATATCAAAACTTCAGTTTTGATTAGTAATATGCATTGCTAGGGACTTAATTTGGACAACTATAGCCAACAATACATTGTATGGGTCAAAATTACGAATTTTTCTTTTATGCCAAAAATCATTAGGATATTAAGTAAAGATCATGTTCCATGAAGATATTGTTACTTTCCTACCGTAAATATATCAAAACTTAAATTTTGCTTAGTAATACGTATTGCTAAGGACTTTTTATTCGGACAACTTTTAAGATGATTTTCTCAATATTTTCATTTATTTGCACCCTCAGATTCCAGATTTTCAAATAGTTGTATCTCAGCCAAATATTGTCCTATCCTAACAAACCATACATCAATGGAAAGCTTATTTATTCAGCTTTCAGATGAAAAAAAATTACCCTTATGACTGGTTTTGTGGTCCAGGGTCACAAATACAGATACGAAATACACAAAGACATGACGTCATCAGGGGTTTAAACCGTTTATTCTGAGCAAGACCTTGATGGAATAAACTCCCTTACGAAAATTAACCATGGTTTTACTATAGTAAAAGTGTAGTTACCATGTTTTTTTTGGCTTATTACCATTTGTATAAGCAGAGTTCTACAACAAATATCATGGTTAAACTATGGTTAGTGTAGCAAATCCATGGTTAATTTGTGGTTACCATTGTTTATCTATAGTAACCATGTTTTTTTGTTTTGTTTTTTGTAGTAAAACCATGGTTAATTTTCGTAAGGGCTTTGATGTTGAGGCAACATTTTAAAAAGTTTATTTGAAACGAAAAAAAAAAAAAAAAACATTAATCATGCACACTTCATTTCAGGCTGCCACAATATCCTTTAGGATTGCCTGCAACTCAGGAGTATTTGTGGATTTATTAACATTAGATTATCTTTTGCTGGCTCAATCGGTTATTTACAAATACTACAAATGACTAAAGAAAACCATGTCTTTTCCCACTCCTTTCCAAGTATTTTCTTTTACAGTTAGTACTACTCTCTTTAATACCTTTAATGGTATGTATTTACAATGCTGCCAACAATTTCAATATGAAAATCACAAATAAGATCTCAGTCTGGGGTTCTCTCAGTCTGACTTTAACAGCTCATTATTTGTCATCCTTCGGCCAAGCAGCACCTCTTCCTCACTGGACCTTCAGTTTGAAGTCACACACCGGTTACAATAGGCACACTAGCAACAGAGGAAACAAAAGACCCTGTTGGTTTAGTAGCAGCATTTTTTTTAATTTATGAAATTGAATGACAAGGTACAACAATATCTCTATACAGTACTAACAGAACTGTTCATTCACACTTACCTGTTTTTTGTTTTATGAAATGACAATGCAGTCCGCTGATTCTCCTGTGTTAACAAAAGTTGAATGATAATGACTACAGACGTGGAGGAAAAGCAGACAGGTGAACTGAGATTTGGATATGAGATGATCATACTCACGGAATATTCGTTTTAGTGCCTCAATTTCTTTTAAAGGGTTTGGTTTCTGGATTTTGAAGGTGTATTTTGCAAGGTCATCTTCACTGAGCTTGATTTGGACAAAAGCAAAACACTCAAATTTAATAATATACTTTATGCATACACTACCATTCAAAAGTCTGAGGTCATTAAGATTTTTCTCAAAATAAATTAATACTTTTATACAGCAATATGAGAGTGATTTCTGAAGGATCATGCGACACTGAAAACTGGAGTAACAGCTGCTGAAAATTCAGCTTTGTCATCACAGAAATAATTTACATTTGAAAATACATACGTTTTGATGAGTATTAAAAACAAAACAAAAATGTTCCAACCCCAAACACAACAGTAGTGTAAATAAATTATTTTGTACATAAATGTGCAGAATCACGAAATGAAACTTTACTGCATTTGTCCATATCTACACAAAACAAAGCAATTCCGCTGCTGATTCTTGACATAATCATAACCAATAACACAATGGTTTTGGGCTGCCAGTGAGAACAAAGATGTTGCAATATCACAATACATACTGGCTGATCCCTGGGCGTTGTATAAGGTTTAGTTCCCTCACTGCGATGGAGTGACAGAGGTCTGTGTTTGGTTTCTGGGTGCACACTGCAGTTGAAGCGCAGCACGCTGACAGGCAAATGAACATGCCAACTGTCTGGATACTTCTTTACCAGATTTTCCACCATACTGTAAAGAAACCACACCATAATTTTTTTTCAAAATAACTCTATGCTCTGTAATATTGTGATTCATGTCCAAACAATTCTAAACGTACTTAACAATGTGGTATTGTGTGTGGGGTTCAAGCTGCGAAGCCTGGTGATGCCGAGAGACGAGGGAGATGTCCTTTATCATCAGAATATTATTGAGTGCTCTGTTAACCTTGACAAAAGAAAGCAAAAAGGGTAAAGATAAAAAATTAAACGGTATTGAGACAATTAAATAACCTTTCAGCACATTTAAATGAATAAAAATACAATTTACAATTATAAATAATTAAACCTGCACTAATTGCTCTGACATTATCCAGTGAATCGTGACTTACCGTTCTGACCTGAATCCCTCTAGCACCCCAAGGTGTGAGAAATCCCAGAGGAAACCCGTATCGGGAAATGGCATCACACATAAGCAGGGCAATGGAATCAGAATTAGGCTTTTCAGATGGAAAGATTTCAATCCACTTGGTGTAATAATCACAGATGACCACGATGTGGCTATAGGGGCCTTTGCTTTCTTGAAAAGGCCCTGTTACATCTATACTCAGCCATTGCCATCTCTCGGTCACCTAGATGGAAAAATTAAGATAAAAGTTTTTTTTACAGGTAAAACTATGTTAAGCCACACTTTTCACTCTCATAACTATTATGGCTGCTATTTTATGTCTTCACACAGAAATTACCGCTGTGCTAGAGGACTAAAAAAGGACAAATCTGAAAAAAGGCATACCCGGATAAACTGAGTGTTTGGATTTTCAGCTGTTTCAAGAGGTGCGTCATCATAGGCGACATCATTTCCAGGATCCTGCACATACATATAAAGAATAAAATAAAAAAAACAATGCTAAAACATCATTCAGGAGACTATTTCCAGATCTGAAGTTTATACATTTACAGACTGTGATAATGTAAAGGTCTACATACACTAGCATCATCATCAGCTTCATCATCAGCCTCATCGTCACCCTCCGAAAGCTTCATCCAGTGAAAGCTCTGTGAAAACACATTGACTGGTGTATAATGTACAAGTCAGTGTATAAGATGCTCTACAAAAGACAGACAAAGATCAACAACTATTAACCTGTGGTTTGCAGTAGTCACCATGGAAGCTGCCAGCATGCAAGGGGCCAAGGCTGGAACCATCAGAATCCACAGGCACACGAACAAACTTCCCCTCAAGCCTATCAAGCCCATGAATAAGAGACGTTAAGTAGTACGACAACAACTAGAGAAAATTACTCATTTGGCAAAAAATTGTAACAAATACATAGGCTAACAAACATTACCGTGGTGTTACTGGTGCCGATACTGCGGTTGGTTTTGGTTTGATAGGCACTTCAACTGGCTTACGATTCTGAAAAACCAAAACAAATGAAGAATGTGTTTAGAAGTAATACAAAAAGATGAAAAGACTTTCTAACACAGCTTTAAAACAATGGTTCTCAACTGATCGATCTGGGGACACAGATTTTATATTCCTGAACCTCTGTGTAAGCCAAACCTCTTTGACCTAAAATTTTCTAAAAGTTCCGCCTGAGATTTTATAGTTAATATAGTTAACTGAAGTTAATATTTCAATAGTTTAACAAACCATTTGCATGTTCACAGCTCTCTGGTGTTAGTTAATGGTATCTAGGCATTGCGCGATAAGTCGATATATTGATTATTGCGACAGGCCTAATGGTATCATTACAAGTGTTTTATTTGTTTATTCATTCATTTATTTATTTTAAAATTACTTACGTTTTCATTTCCATGACTTAAATAATTATTAGCTTTATATCAAATCATGAACCCCCTGCTATTCACTCACAAACTCAAAACAGTTCAGGAAACCCTGCAGCAGAACATGAAAACCATTGGATCCCAATTCAAAGGTTAATATATAATCAAACGTTTAGTTTATTAATATTACTATAAACTGCATAAGACCAATAATACACAAAATATTTACATGACAAAGGCTGAAAAGGAAAACCAGCAATTCTGGATTATTTGGAAATGCATTGATGGAAAGAACCACTGCTTTCTGGAAATGTATTTACTAAAATTTTTACTTGATATGAGGATGAGTGATTCTTCTAACCTCCCATACATACCAGAGACCGTCTCTTGACAGCTGGCACCTGGGTGTGGACAATTAAAAAAAAAAAAATCATGAAAAGAACACATGCATTATAAGCAGAAACGGGGAAAAAATACGGATATTTGCATTACAAGTAACAACATTTTAAAGACATGCACAAAACTGTTCTGACTTGCCTTCCACTGCAGATGTTTTGGGAAATTAAAGATAGTCGGGACAGCATTTTTGCGCAGTCGTTTGTGACTGCCCACTTGTTCAAAG